ACATGCAAGGTTTATGAGGTCTAGCATTTGAAATTTGTTCCCTTTCACAAAATAAAAAATGCCAAACATGTCAAGCATCAAATAAAGGGGCACAGTTGCTGTGGTCTCAGCCCTAGGCAAGTGTGTTTTGGAGAGATGAATCCCAACTTGAAAATAAAACAACAGGGAAATTCTGATCCTATTGCCACAGAGAATATACAAGATTCCCTAATGCCATTTAGGACACTCACTTTTTTCTCCTTCCAGAGAGTTTACACTATTCTTTAGCACATAGCATGCCATTCTTCCATTATTTAAACATGATTGACTCATTTACCAAAGCCCTAGTGCAAATGCTATTTGCCCCCTCCTTAGGCAAACAAATAAAATGGAATAACATGTTAACTGCAAATATGGGCAAGAGGTGTGGTATCCATGGTATCGCAACCCTGCTGTTAGAGAAACTGCACCAACAGGACAGCCATATGCTACTAGTCAGTGTATCTATTTCTAGATCAAAATGGAGTCCTACGATCGCTCTTGTCCAATCTGTTCAATGATTGTGGCAGCTGACTCATATCCTACAGAGATGAAGGCGCCATATTGAGTGTGCTATTTCCACACTTCACCATGGCCCCACCTGACAGACACAGTTATTCCACACTAGATGCCAAGCAGATGTCACCTAAGGTCTCAGAGTCTGCCTGTCAGGGTTATAGTTCTGTCTCAATTATCTGCAGTGGCCTATAATGAAATACATCTCCTGGAGGCATTGACTTGAGTAATTTCTAGATAGAAGAAATTAGTAAATTCGTTTTCTGGCCTTGGGTCTTTTTCCTGTTCACTTCTTTACAAAAAGATGTGGAATATAAATAATTATAAAAAATGGTAGATTTTCAGGACACAGACAAACTCAAAATGTTTCTATTATGACTAAATCTCAAGCTAGGTCCATGTGGCCCTAGGAAACTCTATTTATAAATTTGATTGCTTTCATTAAAAGTGAACATTTGAATTCTAATCAGATGACTACATTTCCATCAAAATTTTCATTTTATAAATACTGCATGTCACAATAGCAATTTAGGCTCAGGTAAAACTTTAAAGTAGGGACATCCGCATTCAAGGAAATCCTTAATTAAGGTAATGAAATGAATTGTTTTTCAAAATACAAATGCAAATTTACCATTTTAATAGCTATTCTTTCCTTGAAGCATTATAGATATTATTTTTAGTTACAGATATTTCATAATTTCTCTTTAATATGAAATTATACACATGTCATAGACAAATAAGAGTATCTCTATGTATATAGTATTAAATTAGATAGGTGATGAGAAAATATAGGCTATCCTCTATATGTGTAACCCTATACATATGTTTTAGAAAGTCCATCGTCTCATCAATATTCTCAGTTACATCAAAGGAGACAGTTTGTATAGTGGTTAAAAAATGAGAGCTTTGAATTCAGATATTATTTTATTACTTACTAGTTGTGTGACTTTGCCCATTATCTTTGTTTTCTTTAGAATATCTCCACTGAGATATTCTCAGTGAGATACCAAAAGGTCAAGTAATATGTCTAATTAGATGTGAATCATAACCTACAGTGGTGGAAGTCGTCATTTGGTCTAGTCTTACACAGGCAGAAAAACACAAAGCTAATTGTTACTTTCTCCAGCCTTTCTCTCTCCACTGAAAATCTCCAATAAAACTTTTGATTATTTCCTGACCTTATTATTTTCTTTCCATATCTGTGACCTTGGAGTCATCTTTGAATCCTTTTCCTTTGCCTTTCACATCTTATTGCCGAAACTTTTTGGTTGACATTTTTTGTCTCATTAAAAACAAAGAGGTTCATTTATTTTATACAGCTTGACTCTGCCTACATCAAACACCACCTTGACTCTGGGAACAACTCAAAAGCTGGCACTTTATCCTTTTAATTGATTTCAAATTCTCCACAGATCTTAATGTAGTTTATGCAGCAGAGTGGATGATACATAGGGCACAATTGATAGTTACAAGTGATGGTCATTTATAATTGTAGGTTGGTGTATGCTTAATCTGCATTGCGAGAGTCATTCATTTGGAAACTTAGAAAAGATCAAATATTTAACAAAACACATCAATCCTATTCATTTCTTCGCCATTTCACCACTGTTTGAGTTAAAGTTCTGTGAACATTTGGGGGTTGGAAAATAGCTCTAAAAACCACAAAGAGGTCACTGACGTTGACAACTCTGAATCCTTCTGAAAAATAAGCACCTGCTCTTCTTATTTACTATAATAACAAATGCTTGGTCTTTGTACAGGTCAAACAGGTTTTTTAGATTTTGCAAAAGGCAATTATTGGATGTGAAGACTATAGCTGTCTTTGGACACTGGTAATAAGATCTTAATCAAATATTGGGGGCTTCATTTCTAATATTATGAAAATATCTTGGCTAAATATTAATGAAGAAAGTTTAGGCAGTGGAAAATCTTTAACTATAGTACATGTCTACATATTATAGCCATGTTTTCACTTGCAATGAGCATGAGGAACAAGTTTAAAATGACATCTGGATTGCTATTAAACTATTTTATATGCTGAATTATGGCTTGCTTTACAATTATGTCTTGGTTAGCTACTGGAGTGAAAAGCTGGTTATGACTATTAAAAATTTGGTAAAATAGAGAGCGAAAGATATACCATAGCTGTTTACTTGTTTTTGCCACCCATATTAGATTATGAGCAGGAATTTTATTAGGAATTTTTTTTTTCATATGGAATTCTTAGTGCCTACTCCAGTATTTGGTCCATAATAGGTACTAAATAATGAATGAATAAATGAGTGCCAAATTTATATCACCCTAAACACACATATGCTTTGAGGGCCTACGAGGGAAATATGTTATTATCTTCTATACAATTATACAAATGAAGTACAATTCAGGTAAGAATCCTAGAACTGCATTGTCCAATATGGTAGCTACTAGACACATGTGGTTATCTACATTTAAATTAAAATTAATAGAAATGAAATACAATAAAATTTTATTTTCTCAGTTGCATAGTCACATTTTAAGTGCCCAAAAGCCAAATGAGGCTAGTGGATACTGTATTGAACAGTGCAGATATTGAACATGTCTTTCATTGTAGAAAGTCCTACCAGATAACACTCTTACAGAGAGTGTAAACTTTTCTTCATATTAAAAACAAAACCCCACCATGACAATATATAAATTCTAATATACGCAGATGATTTTACAAATATATATACCCTTGACCTTAAGGAATTTTAGGAGGACCCTATCCATTATACATTTCCTCATCACAACTGCAGATTTATGATAGTCTTATAATTCTTGATGGCTCTTTAACAGCTTTATAATAAATTCACAATGCTATGGAGGAAAAACATCTCGAACAAGTGGTTGTCACACCTGTGTATGCTAAATATTCTGGCTCCCAGGTATTCCCTGCAAGATCCTGATCCAGTAGGTCTGAAATGTCTTAATGAAATTACATTCTTTGCAACCTTTTCAGATGATTTTGATGCAGGTAGTGCAAGGGTCACATACTGAAAACATTAGCCTAGGGATTATAAGAATTCATTTGTGTCATTGCTTGCTTCATTTATTCAACAAAAATTTATTGAGTTCCTCTCTGTTATGGGTCCTATTCTAGGCACAGGCCTATAAAGATGAAGGAAGAGAAGGCGTCAATGGAAAAGGTATTAGTGGGTGGTGCCTTTTGTGAACTTGGTCCTCCACCAATCATAGGCATCTTAACTACCACTTCCTCCAGAGCTTCTCCCCAAGTGGAATCCAGTTTGTCTTTTCTGTATGCAAAGAAGAGTTGTAGAAAAACTCAACAGTAGTGGTAGAAGAGGAAGAAGAAAAGAGAGAATGAGTAGGAGGAGGGGACATAGAGGGGAAGAGGAGATGGAGAAGGAGGAGAAAAGAAATATAGAAGTAAAGAAAGAAAAAAGAAGAAAGAAGGAGAGAAGAAGATGGATCCGAGAAAGGAAGGAGAATGGACAGAACTTGGTGATTGAATGTTGGTCAGGGTAATAAGCAAGAGGAAAGAGTCTGGGGTGACATTTAGCTTTCTGTCTTAGGTTGGTAGTTAGTAGGGCCTTTCACTCAAACAGAGAATACAGACAGAATAGCAATTTGGGGAGAAGAAGCTGGTGTAGGTTTGATACATTAGACCTGTTTTCTGCCTCTGGTACTTCCAAGCAGAAATATTCAGAGGCAACTGGGTATGCAGTTTTAGAGCTTTACAGGTATGGATTTGGGATGCACCAGTGTTACATGAAGCCATGGCAATGAATGAAATTATACAGGAAATCATATAGGAGAATTAAATCATACCATAAAGTCAGAAGAGAAGGCTTGTAAGGATGGGGATTTTGGGGACATCAATATTTTAGGCAGTGATTCTTAACCCTTTGTTAATTGATGACCTTTCTGAAAGTCAGATGACTGCTAAAGAACGCCAAATTTCACAGACTTAAACAATTTGTGATTTCCAAGGTGTTGAGACCCCTGCTGAGAATGTCCACTGATTTCAGTTGTTTAAACAGTGAAAGAGGAAGAGGAAACCATGAAGGACAGTGAGAAGGAGAGTCAAATGGGAGTATGAAAACCAAATTTCTAACTCACGGAGGTTTACTCATCTGACCTGATGCAACAGTAGAAATAAATCCCCTAAATAAGCAGCCTGCTTCTCTTATATTCCTGTCTGTAAAATCAGGAAAGCAAGAATGCACACTTAGAGGTAATTTATTGAATTCTCTTTGTCTTCACAGTCCCTCACAGCCAGTAATTTAATTTCTCCTCTATTTCATTTTGGGTTTTCTTTCTTTGAGTCATAGAAACCATGGCTTAATTAACTTAGGAAAGAGAGCTTATTAGAGTATACGAGTAGTTCCACAATGATTTTCTCCTCCACGTAGTTATAAGATAGGGGAGAAGCAAGGCCAGCATGCATTTGTGTTTTATTGGGATCCTTTCCTTTCATGCACACTTACCTATAGAAGTGATTATAACTGTGAAACGAGTTTCATCTTGCCTTCCAGTTATGTTGTTGTAAGCACAGCACACATAGTCAGTTGTCTTCTGGGCTACTTCCTCAGAAGCAACTTCCAAGCGAGGCCCATGCTTAATGACATATGTTGTATTGTCAGCCCTCTGGATCCAGGAGTAGATGTTGGGGGGATAAGAATCAGCAGAACAATCAAATAGGATGGCTTCTCCAAGGTCAACAGTAAACACTTCCCCTACTTTCAGTCCTTTATCAGAATTCACTTGAAGTCCATAAGGTCCATCTGCATCAATACAAAAAGAAATAGAGGATAACATAAATAATCACAATATAGTTTTTGAGTTTGGGAGGGCATAGTAGCATTTTGGTTCCCTTGAAAGTCTTCAAGTTAGCCTTGGGCAAACAGGTCCTCCTTTAGACTCCTAATAAATGATGAGGATCTAAATATTATATTCCTATATCCATGAAAATGGAAATTATTTGAGATGAAATTGAACTGGCTTAAAATAGTAAAAGCCTGAAATATAATTTTACAAACACTGTCATCATGATTGTGATGCTAAGTTTTTTGAGCCCTGTATTGATAAATCTGCAATCTTGTTAGACATATTTAATCTTTCTTTTTTGTGTGTTACTGGCTTATTTTTTATATGCTGCTTTATTTTATTTTATTGTTTTTAATTGACACATAATCATACATATTTATGGGATACAGTGTGATATTTCAATACATATAGACAATGTGTATTGATCAAATGAGGGTAATTAGCACATCCATCACATTAGATACTTATCATGTCTTTGTGTTGGAAACATTCAAAATCCACTCTTCTAACTATTTGAAAATATGCAATAAATTGTTGTTATTTACCCTATAGTATGTAGAACACAAGAACTGATTCCTCCTACCTAGTTGTATTTTTGTGACTGTTAATCAACTTTAGATTATCCCTCTTCCCCTACCCTTCTTCACCTTTGCTAAGCACCATTCTACTCTCTACTTCTATGAGATGCCTTTTCAGCCTTCACATATGCAAGCTCAATCTTTCTGAAACAGTCATTGCACTTGAAAATATTTTTACAACAGATTATGGTCACTATTTTCTCTTTGACAGCCACACTTTGAGTATTATCTATGTTTCTTCTCAGTGCTAGGATAGGCCATGTAAATATTTATAAAAGACATAGTTTCACATGGAACACAGATTTGTGCAAATAGATATGAGAGTGTTCTACAGTTTCATGACACTTTTAGCAGTTAAAAATTTTTTTTTAAATTCTTCTCTCCCCAAGCTAACCTTAGGATTCCATTTGGAAAAAATATATCTTCATTTTCATTAACAAATATTCATTGATCATCAATAAATGACTTAGTCATGGATATCTCTTTTTTTCTCACACTGCAGTACTCCTGAAGCACTTAAACATTTCTATGGCATCAAACTGCCAGCAGATGAAGACATATTTCCCATTGGTTTCTTCAGAGAATAAAGAGAGAGACTAAAAAAGTCTCTCTACCCAGCTAGGGAGGCTTTCTCATCTGGCCTAAGTCATCGCTGACATTCTATAAAACTTTAAGTTTTAGGCATGCTCATGCTCATTTTTCAGCTGATCATTACCAACATTTATTATTTGCCATGTTAAGGCACTTTAAGTGGCTTATGTATATAGCCATATTTAATATTTAAAGCAATCACTATGTGTAAATGTTATTATTCTAATTTATAAGATGAGGAAAGAGATATTTTAAAAAAATTAAATTTATTTGCCCTTATTAACAATCACTATGTGGTAAATGTTATTATTCTAATTTATAAGATGAGGAAAGAGATATTTTAAAAAATTAAAAAATTTATTTGCCCATGATCACATAGCTATTAAATAGCAGAACTATAAAATATATGCATTTTATCATTCATATTACTTCTCTAAAAGAGAAATAAAGTATAAGTGGTATAACTTTCTATATCAGAACAGTTTATATTATTAGTTCTATAATAAATTATTGTCTAATTATAGATTAATTCTATAATCACTTCATTAAGTAATCAAATATTTATTTGAGAGATACAAAGTATAGATAATATATTTAGTATATGTGGGAGACAGAAAGAAGTATCAGCCATAATTCATATTCTCAAGGAATTTATAAACTTGATAAGGGTATGGATGGTTTGCTTAGTAGTGACCTAATCTAAAAGGTCCTGATTTTTTTTTAACTTACCAACTATATTCCACTAACGTGGAATAATATAATACAGTGACTAGACATTAGGGTACTAATTGTCAATCATTAGTTAAGCATTCTTTAGAAATCATTTAAACTTTTGGGGTCTCACTTTCCTCATCTTTTAACATAAAAAGATGGATTAGATGACTGATTGCCAAGGTTCTTTCTAATATCTTTGAAACACCATGATGCAAGCCACGCTAAAGCTATTTTGGATATTGGCAAGTCAATCTCAAGTTGCACATTCCCAGAGCAGTTCCTTATTAGGTCAGCATTTTCTGACCAATATACTATTGGGGAAACAAATTTTCAAAGCTATAACCAAAATTGAAGATGCAAAACAATAGATTATATACACTTATATATGTATTTTTCTTTCTAAAGACAGAGAGAACTGTGAAGGAATCCTACAGAACAACATTAATATGTCTACATGAGGTAACCCTGCTTTCAAAAAGCAAACACAGAAGTTAGTATTTTCAAATTTAAAGTAATCAGGAACTGGAGGTAGCAGATTAAAATGAGGAGAAATGTGTGTTCCTTTCTTGCGACTGTACTAAAACGCTGTTCTGTCATTTCAGGCTGTGATAGTCTCAGGTGAAACCACTGTGATAAGGGGATTAGAACAGTGTCCTATAAAATGGAACTCTCTTATTCTGAATTCCACTAAATAGCAAGTAGTGTAATGAGAACAAAACTTTGTTTTCACTCAATCAAAATCAATATTGAGATGTTCTTTGAGCATGATACTATTCTAGGTATCATGAGGGAATCAGAGATGCTGAAGACATCCTGTGTCTATTATCCCAGGTCCTGTGCAGCAGCAAGCTCCCTTCAAATTGTCACTATTGATAAAATATTAGGGAAGGAAAGATGACCAACTGGAGGGCACTGGTTATGGTTCACATAGAAGGAAATCAATAGGAGGAATTGACTGTAGTTTGAAAGAGCAAGAAACCTTAGTCTATGTACAAAAACTAAACTCTGAGAGCCTTTCTGAGAGCACAGCAAGGCTGACTTGATAAAGAAGAGAAGTGTCGTCATAAAAATACAGTCACTCAATTTAGGTCTTCATCTTCCCACTGCTTTTCAGTGTTTACAGAATGTGGCTATACATATGAATTGTCTAATAATTTAACACACATACAAATGAGTATTACTCTTTTCAAGGCATGCTCATGTTACACAGAACTTTTTGGGGGGAATTCCTCATTTGGGATTGCCTTAGGACCTTGCAACATAATGGAGTAGTCTCATAAGTAGTAATTTTTCAATTTCAATTTTGGAGGATGGGTTTAATTTGTAGAAGAAGCCCACAGTCATTTAGAGTCATGGATGGTCAATGACCTTATTTATTTTTATAATTTTTTAATTTTTATGTTTTTTTTAGAGACAGGGTCTTGCTCTGTTGCCCAGGCTAGAGTGCAGTGGCAAAAGTATAGCTCACAGCACCCTCAAACTCCTGGGCTCAAGCAATCTTCCTACCTCAGCCTCCTAAGTAGATGGGACTACAGGCACAGGGCATCATGCCCAGCTAATTTTTTTATATTTTTGTAGGGAGGGCGGTATCCTTATGTTGCCCAGGCTGGTCTCAAACTCCTGGCCTCAAGCAATCCTCCCACCTCCCAGAGTGCTGAGATTATAGGTTTGAGCCACCTTACCTGGCCTGTAACCTGATTGAATAAGATCATTCTAGGTTAAAATAAAAAATACCTTTAAGTATTTTTTAAAGAAGGTAATACTTCTTTACTCAATCATGTTTATTTTGATTTTGCTACTCCTCATTTGTTGAGGCTCATGATTGGCATAATCTTTTCTCTTTTGTCTGTCTTAATTTTATGCTGTTTTTGGCTCTTCAGCATCAGCCTCAACTCTTTCATACTGTACCCGCCCTCACCGCCCCCTGCCTTGCTGCAAGCATCTCTTCCAGCTCCAAGAACTTAACATCCTGAAGCACTTAAGTTCCTTGCTTCTGATATGATTTCTTAAAAGGTAACAGATTTTATCTGATTATTTAAGAAACACATGTTCATTGCAGAAAATCCTAAAACTCAGAGAAGCACAAAGATGAAAAGCCATTTGCAATTCTACCACTCAGAGAACCAACATCCACATTTCAGTGTATGATCTTCAAGTCTTTCTTCTATGCACCCTCATTTCTTCCTCATATTCTTTCTTTCTCTCTCTCTCTCACAGACACACACACACAAATTTAGCTAAGTATATCTCACACTCTACACACTGTTTATAATCTGTTTTCTTCTGACTACATTATGGTGTTATTCCTTTTATCATCAGTGTTTCAGGCTGACCATCCCTCTACGTTGAGATGCAGCCTAGTGCATTATTTAAGTGAACAGGCAATCTAATTGGAGATAACCGGAGTGATTCAACTAGAGTGGCCTCTGCTACTGAAGATGAAAGCAGAAGGATAATTCCATTTTGACTTTGGATTATGGTTCACTCTCTTGCCTTTGGCACAGAGCTCCCAATAGAAATGAACCCTTTGCCTCAGGAATGGCTGTTTACTAAATGACTTGTAAAATCACATATCTTCTGTTCTCTTTAACAATTTATGGCTGGGCGGGAACAATACCTAAATTTCCATCATGATGCTGTTTGCCATCCTGCTTGGGAGCAGATGGTAAGTATTTACTGTGAATGACCTTTTTTTTTTCTTTAATTTTTATCACTTAGAGCTCTCCCCTGCAGCATTGCCATATGTCGCCCACAAAACGCAGTGGTTACTGGGTTATTATTTACAACTGGAGCTAGAAGGCATATATGTTTTGTGAACTGCAAGTAGATATTTGTCTGAACTGTTGGCCTGACATTGTATTCCACCAAGGCCAATATTAGATTTTGATATCATAACCTCATAAATATATGGTCAATCATGATAGATTTTGTTATACCTTCTTCTGTCAAAATAAAAAAATACTTTCTGCTTTCACAAAGGAAACCTTCATGGAAACAGTGCCTTTAGAAAACAGAATAGGTGATTCGTACTGGAATTCTAAATTATGATGCGGACCTCAATGGAGGAATATTGAGATATTACATTTACTAGATTATTGAGGAATTTTGCTAAAGGTCAGGAAGAAAAGTCCCAGAGCACTATAATGAAGAAGCTGTCATCTTATAATGGGAATATAGCCTCTGAACAACATCATCAATGATGGACTCTGAAATGGATATGAAGAAAGATAATCTGTTCCATTTTGTCAAGTTCAAGAAACTCTATTGAGTTCTTACTCTGTGTCAAGTATTGCCCTATGGATATAAAGATGACTAGTGCAGAATTACAATTTGGGTTTGGGATGCTTGTAAGTGAAGGAAAGTCAGAGAAAATACAATGCAGTGAGAGCCAGGGAAGAGCTGTGCATAGAACACCACAGGAACACAGTGAACCTCTTAGTGACCTGAGGAGGTGAGGCAAGTAGGGACAGGTAAGTCTTCCTGGAGGAGATGATGTCAAGAAGGAAGAAGAGGGTAACCAGATGAAGAAAGAGAAGCAGGAATAACATCAACCAAGGTGCATATTCCCTGTTTGCATGGAATGATAAAGATTGCAAACATGTTGATGCTACATCAACAGGATAAATGACAAATCTTCAGGTTACAATATATATTTGATTTTTGTTATCTGAAACCAAGAAAGCAAAACAAAAACAAATATTGAAACAGGGCTAAAATAGTGATAGCTACCAAGAAAAAATATTAAATTAATGAGTCTGGGTTGTTTCTATATATTATGTGATAGGCAATAATTGCTCAGCACAAATAAGACCCTTATGTTTTATTTTTCAATCAAATCAACTTATGAATGAATGAGTGAATAAATGAATGAATAAGTGAATGAATGAATATCAATAAGATGAATTGTTGACCAAGTGAAGGTTTCCACATCTGAACATAAAAAGATAAAAAATTAATACTACTATATTCATAATTACCAATTAATGAGTCATAATCTTTCTTAAGTCATATAGTGAATTCATCTTTACTATGTGTAAGTAAAAACCACATTTGAAAATTTTCTAAGTGTTCTTTCTACTATATGTCATTAGTCTTTACTTATGATAGACATTGTTCTGTGAGATTTTCATAGACTATGTCTAAACTAATGTAAAGAAGAAAGTTTAATCGGTAAGTAGAAGATACCTTCTGTGAAATATGAATGTATTAAAACTGGGTATTTTAATTATTTCAAATAACACAAGAAAGGAAAAAAGGTTTTGGAGTCTAAAGCATAATATTTAACATTTGTAGGTGTAATTATGTTTCTTTCTCCCATTTTATATTTTCCATGCTGTGTATCACAGCATATTCTACAATAATAATGAATTTGGAGCTTAGACTTGCACATTTGAAAGAAATACCTTATTTTCACTTTGCCAGATTAAAATGAACTATACAGCAAAACAAAAGTATATTTCAGAAACAACATTTGCATATGCTTATAATTGTTAATGCAATTTTCCCCAGAAATTTTTAACTTAAATCTATGGCTAGAGTTTAGGTAGGTAGGTAGGTTAGATAGGTAGGTAGATGGAGAGATAAATAGCTATAAGAAAGAATAAGCATAAAGAAAATATTTTACTGTATAAAAATAAAGTATGTTCAATTAAGGAATGATGATGTTTGGAGAACACAAAACGTTCTTTTCAAGGTATTATTTTAGTTTTCTCTTCGCAGCCTCTACAAAGTTATGGGTTCTTGAAATTGAGACTCCCACTTTCCACTGGAAATGAGGACACAATGGACTCAATCACAAAATGCAACCCGAATGGTCCCTGGCTAGTATCTCAATTTGATCTTCAAGAAGTAGTTCCATTAGATATGTTTCATGACAAGACAGTGCCTAGTAGGTGTGGTTAGAACTAGTACTGAACAACAATAATGGTAAAAACCAAATGACATCTGGTGCTTATATTATCTGTGACTACTCCTATGAGAACTCCTCAGAAAAACAAAACGCATTAGTATTTCTTGGGAAAAAAAAAAACTTACAATATATGATGGGCATAATGATGTCACTTTCCATCTCACTGACAGGGTTCTTCACCAGGCAACTGTAATTCCCAATGTCTTCCTTGGTTACCGGAGCAATATGAAGGATGTTGTTTTGGGGAGAAAAGGAATAGGTGGAGCTGGTGTGGACAGGCCTTCCATTTTTTAGCCACTGGTAAATTAGCCGAGTGCCCCCTTCCACCCGGCATGTCAGGGTCATATTCCCCACATACTCCACAGCCCCAGAGGGAGGATGAGTCTGCACCACTGGCTTTTTGACAGGATCTGCAATATCAAGAGAGATAGGAATGATTCTTTCCATTCATGGAATTGCAATGAAACCCTATGAGGTCTTCAAATATTAACTCCTAGGGAAATGATTCTAGAGTTTCACTCTATAAATGTAGACAGCTCAGGCAATAATTAAAGCAGAGAACAAAAACTCATGGAAAATGCAAAATGATAAAAATATAACCAAATTCTAGAACTTACTCTTCAAGGGTTATTTAATGATTTATTTATAGATATATAAATCATATATATATGTCAAATCAAATATATATGTTTATATATGATGTTATTATGGATAACATAGTTAGTAGTTGTAAACACCAGCTTCCTTATTTCCTGTTCATTGTGCTTTCTTCTGTACCATAAGGTATACTCTCACAGGCAAAATATATATGGTTATTCCCCTCTCTTCACTTGTGCTAATGACCCAGGAGTAGCTGGCTGTGGTGGATGTGGTAAACCCAAATTTCTACCTACCATTTGCAAAATACATATACTGCTCATATATAGCATACTTTTGGCAAGTTGGGGGAAAATTTAAGAGAATCACATATGTACAACTTTCTGTTCTTTCTATGTATGTAATCAAATTAATCATATACTTTAATGACTTTGCATTTGTGTTGCAACATTATGTTAGTCACTATAACAAAACAAAGTCAACATTTCAATACTGACTCACTCTGAAAATAGGATAAAATATATTCTTGGGATTATATCGAATTAGAGAAAAAAAAGACAAATACAATAGAAATTCTTGTTGGAAAGTCAAGTAATAGGAAAGTAGTCTTATTTCATGGTCTGGCATACAATAGGCACTTAATGTTTGTCAAATTAATACATTTCTAATGAATGAATGAATAAATGATTTCTCTCTGATTTTTAACTGTAAATTTGATAGACAAGTATGGGGATTAAATAAGCATCTACAATCATTTTCAGCAACTTTCATTAATCTTTCAGGTTCTTGATTCTATTTGATAAAAACAATGACTTGCACAGGTTACACAGCAGTCAGTGGCAAAATGAAGAGAGCTTTAAATCAGGCAATGTTCCCCTCCTGCGTTTTGGAGAGAGAGGTATTTAACCATCTCCTTCTATATATGACTACAGAACACAGAGAGAGTGGGATGATATATAAGTGACAGAGGATCACCTCCAATGTTTAGACCTTAATTTTCTATCAAGCTTTTAATTAAGGTTGATGCATCTTCCTCTGGTAAATATATCGACTCATGCTCACATTTTCCTACACTGGAAAATGTGCATTAGGGCACAAACAGACCCATTGTTCCAGCCCGTAAAAACAAAAGAAAATGAAAGATAAGGATAAAGGAGGTTGAAGGGCAACTTGTAGAAAGCTGAGTAGTTCTGAAACTTCCAGCACTTCTCAAGCTGGGGATAATCAACTGTCCGGTCCATTTAATTTAATCCTTCGTCTTCTCTGGCAAGAACAAAGGATTTGAAAAAGGTTTATGTTCATGTTAGTATGATTTAAAAAGAAAAATGAATTGTGTATATTTATTATGTAGAAAAAGCTTTTATTTCAAATGCATCTGTGTGTGGAAATATATGTGGTATGGGATAAATAGGCACCATGTGAGAGGGCTTGTATGAGGAGAACCAATTAGAATAATCCTTGGTATTGTGATCATGCATTTGTCTAAAACAATGTCACTCAGGTGTGGAAGTTTCCCTTCCAAGAAGGATTTTGGCTCAGGCCCTAAAATTTAGGCTTTACTATATTTTTTGGTTGTATTTTTCTAAACAGATCCAACTTTACTACTAATTAACAAGTAAAGATGTTCTATTGAAAGTTTTGGGGGGGGGGAGACAGGATGCCACACACAAGAATTCCCTGGAGTGACTTCTTCTCCTTCCCCAAAGTTGCTCTCCAGCCACCTGCTTCCACCCCATGTCCATGCTCCCCTGCAGCCTCCTCCCTCTCCTCTGTGGCCACTCACTCCCCAGAGAGTGATTAGCAAAGGTTTTAGGCACTGAAGACAAAGCAGCCAACAATACAGACAAAGTCCTGCTCCCATGGGCTTCATATTCTAGTTGAGGAAGAGAAACAATAAACAAAAATATATAATATGTCTAGGTGGTAATAAGTCCTATAAAAAAAGAAAAGCAGAATTGGAGGTAGAGAGTTACTGTGTGTGTGTGTGTGTGTGTGTGTGTGTGTGTTTGGGGGAGTGAGATTATATTTTATAGAGAGTGTTCAGGAAAGGCTTCACTATTAAGTAACATCTGGGCTGAGACTTAAAGGACATAAGGGAGGGGCACTTGCTGGTATCTAGGAGAAAATCCATCTAGGTAGAATGAACAGCAAGTACAAAGGCCCTGAGGTGTGAGTGTGTTTGGTCTATTCTAGGATGAGCAAGGAGACCAGAGTGGCCAGAACAGAGGGAGTGAGGGGGATGCAGGTAGGAAATGGGGCCAGATAGGTGCCAGATAGGTATGTGGGGCCTTGCAGGCCATTGTTGGCATTTTGATTTTTTCTCTGAGTGAGACAGCAGCTATAGGAGGATTTTAAGCTGCAGGAGGTAGGAGTAGGTGCCGGGAGACCAGGTGGCAGGTTGTTAGGATCGTCCAGGCTACAGCTGATGGTGGTGCTGAGTGGGGCAATGGTGGGGGTGGTGAGAAGTAGTTGGACTTTGTCTATATTAATATTTTGCAGGTAAAGCCGACAGGGCTTTCTTGTGGACTGGATGTGGGATGTGAGAAAAAGAGGGGGTCAAGGGTGACGGCAAGGTTTTGACTCAGGCAGTTGATAGAATGGTTTTTGTATTTACTAAAATGGGGAATAGTGTCAAATAAACAGGTGTACAGAGAAAAACCAGAAGTTGGACTTTGAATATAGCATATTTAAGATATGCCACTTACATATCTCATTAAGGAAAATAAATGTCTGCAAGTTAGCCGAGCCCACTCTCCCTTGGAGGACATTTCCAGGCACTTCTATTGTCCTTTAGTATGGTCCTTGAGTGAGTCTTATCCTCTCCCAAACTGTGTATCAAAATAAAAATCTCCATGGTACAAAAACAGGGTTCTTTCAGAGTGTATTCTATTACTGAGTAAATAAGATTTTCTCCATCTCATTGTATCAGCAATTTTATATTTGATAGTTCCTAGGCAAATAGAAAATAAGTTATTGCTTGATTACCTTTTGTGGAGCACAGTTGCATATCCTTTACATGCATGTCCACTTATTTAATACTCAGAAAGCCTCATGAAGTAGATAATATCGTTAGTGCCATGAGAGTGAGGCTTTGAAAATTAATTAATTTGCCCAGAGTTGCAGAGCCAGGACCTAAAACCCAGGTCATTTAGTTTCCTGAGCCTTTGCTAACTACTATGCTAGCCTGCTGCCCACGTACACTTATAGTGGACTCACCATCGACAGTGACTTGTATCTTCTGACTAGCAGATAGCGTTCCGTTTCCCTGAATGTTGACCTTCACGATGTAATTGCCTTCATCAGTGAACTGCAGTGGGTTGATGAGTAGAGATGCATTGGGTGGCATCATGGTGAACTTGTGTTGGTATTCCAAGTCAGGAACCACAGACTTATTCACAGAGCCTAGCAGGTATTTGGGCATGGTATGGGGCCTCTCAAACAGCCATATGATCTGGATGTCTGATGCCAGGGTGTGGAAGCCATAGTGCACGGGGAGGTAGAGGGCCTGGCCCCTGATGCCGTGGACGGTGTGTGAGGGCACCGTCACCTTCAGCCCTGAACAAGCACCTGCTGCAAAGGAAAGGAAAGCTGTGAAGACTGTGAGCCACATTTCACAGTCTAAAGGGGCAACCGCAGACTGAACTTGATCAGATGATAATCCTTTTCAAAGGAGAGCGCTTCTAGCTACTGACCATTCTAGTACTGGGTTACATATAGAAGTAAATATTTGTCTCTGAAACCTTTGACATTTAAAAAACTCCACCCAAAGACTGCTGATTGCATGACTTCTCTAAAGGCAAGATGAAAGGGAAAAGCAGAAGTTATTACCTATGACCGTTAAAGAATAAAGGGAAATGGAGAACTGGGAAAGATTATTAGTGCTAAAGTCCAAAGAAACCATTAAAAACATTTGAAATTATGACTATATTAATGTCCGTGTCATACCACATTCTAATCAAACTATGTTTATATACTTTATATAACTGAGGGGTTACTTCCTCTCAAGTATTTCCCCTACAGCCTTCTGAAATGACTTCATATTCCAATTTTGGAAGTTTTCCCTTTAGTCAAAGCCTTGTCAAATGCAAATGTCCTAAAGACAGTGGCAATAAACCATTATCCACCATGCTCAGTCATTCCTGCTCAGACCAGGCATGAGGTGTATTCGAGGGACAGCAAGAGGTAGGTATGGATGGAACGGGGTAGAGGAGAGGGAGCATGGTAGAATATGAGGTCAGTGAGGTGGCCCCAACAGAATGGACGGGTCTTTAGCACCGTGGGAAAGACTTTGGCAATTTTCTCTAAGATGGGGATGCAACTGGCATTTTGTGAGCAGAGAAGGGATATGACCTTTCTTATGTTTTATTGGACTCACTCTAGCTGCTGTGGGGATAGATGGCAACAGGGGCAAGTGCAGGAGCAGGGAGAACACTTAGGAGGTGCCTGCAATAAAACAGGCGAGAGATGACTGTGCTGAAGACTAGGGTGGTAGTAAAAGATATTGTGGGAGGCCAGTGTGGTGGCGCATGCCTGTGATTCCAGAGCTTTGGGAGGCTGAGGCAGGAGGATGGCTTGAGCCCAAGAGTTCAAAGCTGCAGTGAGCTATGATTGAGCCACTACACTCCAGCCTGAGTGACACGGTGAGACTCAGTCGCCCCCGACCAAACAAACAAACAATAATATATATATCATACTATTCTATATAAATATATATATACATATATATTTATATAGTAAAGTCTGGTGGTCCTAACAGATGTGCTAACATTTTGCAAGTGGGAAATAAAAAACAAAGAGGGGTCAAGAATGGAGTTGCAACTCCATCATGGAGAACACTGTGGGGAAAGCAGGTGTTTTAAGGGATGATCAGGAGTCAGATTTAGGCATGTTAGTTTTGAGATGCCCCTTAAATATTCAAGAGGCAATGTCAAAAGGATATTATGGACATAAAAGCCTGATTAAAGTGAGTTTAAGAGAGAATAAATGGGTCTGGAGGCCTGGGCAGTGCCTGAGCTGTTTGGGCCTGTACACTCACTGCTATGTCTTCAGGTTTCTTCCTAGTTTCTGGCACCTGGAGATTTTCCCATTTTCCCTTAAGCCATGATATATTGATTTGTTTTCTTTAGCATTCCTACATATTTGCAGTGGGAAGGGAGTCCTCCTTTGCTTAGGCTATCATGTTGCTGAAATCCTAATTAAAATCTCTTTGCTTCGAAATTCTCATTTAAAAAAGGGGGAAATATGGTACTTACATAATAGGAACATTTGAAGTAGTGGGGGAGAGAATGAGAAGAATTTAAATGTGGAGTATTTTGAACAGTGAGAGGAAAAAGAGAGAATGGAAAGGAAATTGAAGACAATGAGTACAGATAGACAACACTTTTGAGGAGTTTTGCTGTGAAAGGGAACAGAGAGATGGGGCAGGAGCTAGAGAGGGATCTAACATGTGAAATCAAAAGGTTTTTGCTACTGGGAACATTTCACTGAAAGGGAAATGCTGATGATGCAGCATAGATATGGATGAACGTGGAATAAAGTCCTTAAGCAAGTGAGGAGAGATGGAAATTAGGTACAAATAGAGGAATTTTAAAATTTCAATTTCTTATATACAAAACGTTTATCCTCTTTGATTGCTTCCCCTTTTCATTGCCACTAGGGAGGAGGTCTTTAAGCTTCATCCAAGTCATGTCATAAAAGGCCATCAATACTAGGAAAGAAAAGGTGGAGAGGTCTGTTTGTCTTTTGGGATGGTTTCTTTGAAGAAACTCAAGAATGTAGGTCTGCTTCTATGAGGAATCCAGTTCTACCAACAGTAAATTTCTCTCCTTCCCTCCCAGGGTGGAGGTGGAAGCAAAGATTTCCATGGCTGTGTCAATTATTGGCTAGCTATTGGTAGAGAGTGAGACCCTGGGGTCAGCAGGGAAGTTAGAGAAAAGCACTTAGGAGGAGAAAGCCCAAGAGTAAGAGAAGGTTAAAGGGAGCAGAGACGCCTAGACACTCAATTGAACTAACTGTATGGACTGAAAAGTAGGTGACTATATGGGAAACATAAAGACGTGTCACATAGTCTTTTTGGCTTCTTTGTGTATTTGTGATTAACTTCTATTTTTTTCTGATAATGGACTATACTTGCGCACATTCACTTTAGTGATTTGGTCCATAACAAATAAGTTACAAAAGTATAAAGATTTGTTTCTGTATTCTTTTCTGGCAAGTGTAAGAATGTTAAATTTGGATATATATATATATATATATTTTTTTTTTTTCTAATTTGAGTGATTAGAAAAAGAGGGAACTGAGTGCTGGAAATTCTAAAGAGGAGATAAAGTGGACTGCAGAAAAGGAGTAGTGGTTTTTGCAAGGAAATAGTAGGAGAAAGAAAGGAAGATGGGAGAGTAAATTATTGTCTTAAAACTAATGATGTCTAAGATATGTGAAGCAGAAGCTGACCGAGGGGATGAAGCTCTTACAGTCATAAATTTAAAAAAACACTGAGCCCTTGGATGGGGGATCAGCACAGGAAAAGATTCCTCTTAGTGTATGTGTTTTCTGTACAAAACAAAATGCATTTACACGCCTTTCATTGAAATTGGAGACAGGAAGCTCCTGATAAGTTCCTGGTAAGTAATAAATAAAAATTAGTTTTTAGTACCTGTTATTACTAACTTAGGATATTTAAAATGTAACTTTCACTGTATTTATTGTGTTGCTATTTATTTTTTTCACTTGAGTGAACATGAAAATATTTATGAGTGTCTCATGATTCACTCCTGATTTTAGACTCCCTTGTCCTATGTCTGCCAGTTAATCTTAAATTTCTCTCTTATAAATTGCCCTGAAATAAGGGTTTTCAGGGACCTATTCTCTAAACTTGCAGACAGATTATAGTATTTGATACTTTGATAAAGTTAAAAACCCAATAAAATGTGAGATCTCAATAAAGAATGCATACTTGAGATAAAATGGTAAGTGCTCAGTGAGGTGATCTTAGAGAAGTCATTTTAATTCTCTGCCTCAGTTTTCTCATGTGTGAAAAGGGAGTAATATTAGATGAAGTCTAAGGCGTTCCTTGGCTCTCTCAGTTTTATGTTCTTGACATCCTGAGGTGTTTTTCTCAGGGTAGCAGCAACCTATAATACATTTGAAAGGTCCAAAGAATTTTGAGAGGACTCAGAATGAGAGAGGGCCTCAAGAATTTTGAAGTATTGAGTCTCAGTTTTTGGTCAATCTCTGGATTTCCTTTAGTAAAGTGGCAATTCTGTGTCTGTTACTAAGGGGAATGGTGGAGTCCACATCATTGCCTTGGGAATGCACTGGAAAAAGGCAGCATGGCTGCTAATATAACATGAGGTAGTTGCCTCCAGCGGGGAGTAGTTTTGTCATTGACTTATTAGTCCATTTAAGACACTTCACAGCTCAACCTAGAAACCACCGCTAGGCTAAGATGGCCTGAATACACTTCTAACCTATCTGTCCTTGTCTTTTGGGAAAGTCCTTGTTTGGCAAACGTCCTTGTTTGCTTTTTTTTCTTTTTCTTTTTTTAAAGAGAACAAACCCTTCTAATTTACTTTCTTTATAGTTGAACAAGACTGAAATTTATTTAATAATTTAATATTTAAGAATATTTAATATTCTGGAAATGATTGGGAGGTACCTTATCATTATGGAGTGACAATATCATTAGACTAGAAATGTTGCTGATTTTTGGATCTTGATTCAGATTGTTGAATCTTAAATATGAAAAGACTTGTTAGAGAATCTATGACCAAAGCTAGAGAAAGAAGGTCTTATTTAATAAAATATTAAAAACAATACAAACATTGCAGCCTAGAGCAAAATGAAACTGATAGAAAATAACATTTTATATGACTTTATGATAATTGTTTAAGGGGGAAAACTAGCTTCTTGGGCTATTTTAGAGACTGCATCATTTAATAATGCCTTACATATTACCAACAATATCTTTGAATATATTCAATGCTTTCATAACAAATGAAAAATATTTTTTCAAATATATGTGCTTTTTCAAATGTGTGTTTAACAGTGAGAGATAGCGCAAGCTGTTACAATAGCTGTTTCTTTCCAGATTGCCTACACCATTTTTATCAGATAAATTATAGGTAGCCAGTTATAAGAATGTCAGCAAGGAATGAAATTTTCTTTATACAGTATCTTATCTCAGCCACCTCAAATCTTTTCATTTTGCAGGACAGACATGAACCTATTGATATGATACAATCTTTACTTGTAGTGAAATTTGGAGAATAAACATATAACTGAATGCTGCTTCTGCATTTCAGAAACATACTGTTCTTGCCATTGTGTTTCCCATTAAAGATGTGATGAATCCATGCTGTCAAACACAGTAGGTTATTAATTTTAGAAAAATTAGCTTCATTCTGAGAAATATTCGAGTGCTCTTTTCTAGTTGTTTGAGAAAACCTAAAGGACTAAATCTTTGTTTGGTGGGAACAAAAAAAAAAAAATAAAAGTCTAAACTATTGATTTTAGAAGGTCACCCTCTGTATGAACAAATAAGCTTCAGGAAAATAAGTAATATAAAATTTGAT